CACACTCATGAACACACAGGCAAACAAGCACAAGAACACAAACAACAATGCCCCACAAAAAATTATTTCCTCCACCAAAATATCATGCAGGTTTTACAGACGAATCATGAAACCGTGCTGAGTTTCAACCTTTTCTTCTTGTTTGGCCACTTAACTTCTAAATGAGGTTTACTCGTGAGTTTTGAAAGTAATAGCTGCCTCTTTGCAAATTCATAAATATAGTGGCTTGTCTGCATCTGTACAAATATTGTTAAATACAGTGAAATAGTTAAAGTGGGGTCTTAAAATGCAGGATGCCTAGGCACCCCTGGAGATTGAGGGTCACCAGCAAAATGACAAATAACTTTAATTAAGTGGAAATTATTAATTACAGAATCTTGATGAATATATTTACATCAAATGTTCTTTATCTTAGAAAGATAAGATAAAATCTTTCCCTTTCCATGACTCGGAGCTCTCTGGGGTTTTTTTTTTGATATGAGACAGATAGATTATGATAAACTATATTTGTGACTGTGAGATTGTACAATGATTTTTTTTTTCATGCGTGTGTGGAGGAGGGAAGAATCTGAAGGACAAAGAGTGAAATCCTGATGGCATGCTGTGGACAGCTTCATGTCTGCTGTGGTCCGGACATCACAGTGGGACTCTGTGTCTCTGCTGCTGACAGTTTTTCCCTCGCGTCCACTCGGGAAAAGTATCTCAAAGGTTCTGAGTTAGCGTCATGCAGCAACAACACTTTTTGAGATTTTGACTTTGGTGAATGCGTCTCAAAACAAAACACAATTTGAATTGTAGTAATTGTTTGTCAGTTTCACGACTGGATAACTAAATGTTTCCATTTGATTAATAATGTCTCCTCATATCCCTTCACAGTCATTTGTGAAAAGATGATCTCAGAGGACAGTGGACTCTCAGTTCCACGTTTGGCCTGTAGAGGGCATGCCTAAACAGCAATCTGGTCAAGCTCAGTGGGGAGTCCAGAGACATACAATATCCCCACAGAAGAAAAGCACAGGACGACTTTCATCTGTCCATAAAGGGAGGAAATGGTTTTAGTTAGATGGAAGAATACTAATATTACAATATGAAGCTGGGAGCTGATTAACTTAGATTTTTACAACATAACCATTTAGCTGTGGATTTTTTTTTTTTTTTTTAAAGGAAACTACATGTGATTTAAACCAGAGACATAATACCTGAAATCACCCAAGGCAACTTTGCACAGTATAACTTTATTAAGGGCATTAGATTAATAAACTTTTGTCACAATACCATGTCTTCACTTGTACTCAGAGGGAATTTAAACAAACGACTAATTAGAATAACGTCCTCTTTCCTCTCTGAACGGGTTAGAGGTCCTGAATAAAACATGACTTATCTATTGCGATCACGTTAGTCGAGCCATTATTCATTTAACCATTTATTTATTACTCCATTCATCTACATAAATATTTAACTATGTCTTGGCATCTTTATGGACTGCTTGCTCTGCCGCTCAATTACAAGGAGCAGTGTCCTACCATGGCCATATGCCTTCTATCTGGCGACACTATATCTCCACAATTTATGGATGCCAACTCAGAGCAATATCATTCTGTTGGCTTTTATGTATATCTTAGCAAGTATTAATCTGGGCCTAATGACTGGCAACAATATGTTCCAGCCTGTGTCCCCAATAGGACCACTATTGTATACATATAATGTGGTGTAAAATAAATTGTGAGTGTTCTTTTTTTTGTCATTGTTTAAATTAAATCGGATGCCCATATGGGGTCCTCATGAGAAGCGTGCAGAATCCTCCGGACTCCGAGTAGCTTGACATGAATAGATGCATGGTTTATTACTCGCACACCACATATTCACGCCATATACTATAAGCCCTTACAAGTTTTCACTTCCCCTCCTACAACAAAAGCCCCTGCTCGTTTGGCGAGGGGAGCATGGAAGCATGCAGAACGGAGAGGAAGCGAGGAACCGTAAACACCCGCCATGGGTCCTCCTTTAAAGTGATGAACAGCAATAAAAGCAGCACTGGTTGTCTGCTGAGAGACAAAAAGAGCATTTGACCACCTGGGTGCACATCATTTTCTCATGCCGTTTCTCAAGCATGACTATCAGGAGATGTCCCCTTTAACATTATATGTGGCTAACTCAACCCAATCCCCAAGTCACATATAGCTCCTTTCATTCAGCGGGGCTGCACAGCTCGCTCTGTCATAGCTGCTTCTGCAGCAAGAGAAATGTCTCTGCAGCTCTGTGACACTTTCACATGTCACTTTTCCTGCGAGGTCACCACCAACCACGGCCCACAGTTTGATCAACTGAGCTCCTCATTATCGCCTGAAAACAGAGAGAAGCCAAAATGACTTTCTGGGGTAGCAGAGGGAGTCTGTTGGGGTGGGATTAGACTGCATAACTCCCTGTGATCTGCATTGGATCACTTGCTTTCCCTCACATAAATCGTTATAACTGAGTAGAAAGTTATAATTCCAGAGGGAAAAAAATATTTTTAGATCTGTTTGTTCTGTCTCGGACTCATGGCCCCAAAAAAAGGAAAAAGCAAAATCACCTCTAGGTGCCTTTTAGGGCTCATGTTGCTGATTTAAATTGCGGGACTCTGCAAATCAACGGCAAATCAAACATCAGACCCACATATAACCCACCCCCATGTCCCAAAATGGGCTTTTTGTCAATTACAATCAAAGGCACTTTCACTGTTATCTCCCCTTTTCCCTCTGCCTTTCTTTTTTCCATGAATTTCCTAAAAGTACAGAATACTGTGTACACTAGATCCTCAATAGAAATCCATGTGTTAGGAACAGCATTTTTAGTTTGATTTGTTTGTTTATGTGTAAGGGTTTTGTGTATATCTGTGTGTCATTATTAACAGTCAGGGCCACTGATCTCATTTGTGAGCTACGTTAAGTTTATTTGCTTCTTATAATCCTTTGTTGCTTTCTAGACAGCTCAATGATCCAATGAAAAACATTTTAGCATATACTGCAAGTCCTCTCTTATTTAGTCATATAGCATACTGTGCTAATTAAGGATGTCAGTTTGGATTTTTTGCGATAGCTGCAGCACCCATTAACCAATAACTAACTGGTTAATTTTGTTTAAAAAGCATGCAATGACGTGAAATACAAGAGACGCCAGGGCTCAACATTGACACTCGCCCCCATCAAGTAAACTCTATGCCCTGGCAAGTTTAATGCTACATACAGTTGTCTGGTCAGGCAAATGAAAAATAAATGTGTTGTTAATGTCTGAAAATAAACTGCATGCTGCATGTGCGAGTCTGTCTCACTACCAAGCGTTGAACAGGGAGAAACATCTGACACATCCGACATACTGGAAACTGTAAGTTAAGTTTGGGGTTGATGATGTCATAAACAACGCTAACAGTCATACTGTTTTAACGAGGGCTTCGAATGGATCCCAACTCTGTCAGATGCTTTGTAATCCAGCCCTGACCTACTGTGTCTTTTGGAGACTTTATAGAACTAACTAAGTTAACTAATAACTCATACTCATAAATCTGACACCAAATGTCTTCTATGATTATTTATAATTTTTTCTGTGTTGAAAACAGTTACTGGTATTGTAAGCCATCCCGGCTTGCTGTCCATGATGCCTTTGTTGAGGTTTTTTTTTTTCGGACTTATCTACGAATCAGAGGTCAGAGTTTCCAACTGTGTCTGTCTGTGGCTAACAGGAGTGTAACAGGCAAGTAGCTGAGATGCGCCAGGTTGTTGTAGTCCCCTCCTAGAAGTTCCAATATGGCGCTGTTGGTGTAACACTGATGGCAGCGGGTGCAAATTAACCTATAGACCGACGTGTGACCGGTCAAAAACATTTAATTATGGTCAAATGTTGACATTCCTAGTGCTGATTATATGATCTAAGGACCATTGCTGTATCTACAGACATACAGTGTGCGTATACTGTGTGTCTATGTGCATGCATGCGTGTAGATACTTTTCTTTTGTCAGTCACCAGGCTATGGCATTCCTTTCAATGGAGCAGATGTCTTGCTGAATCTTGGATAAAATCCAAGCAGCAGAAAAAGCACAGTAGAGGAGTCTCAGTTTCTGCAGCGTGCTCAGCTACAGTCCATACGTACGTAGTATTGCAAGAAACAGTGAGTCAGACTTTTACAACCCTCGCAGTGCTACTGCCTCTATGTAAATATAACCTCCCTCTATCTCTCTTTCTAAGTTAGTTGACCAGTGGTGTCCTGCTGGCTCAGCTTGGCCTGCGAAGTCTGCCTGGCGCATGGGTGACATGTCTGGCATGCCACTGCTGGCTCTTTTTGATAGCACAGAGAGTGTGTGACTGGCAGGCCATGTTTCTCATGTCTCCGGCCCCTGAAACAGCCATCACTCCGAGTGGATGTTTTCAATCCCCCAGCTCCGTACCCCTCGCAGCTCGGAGAGAAGGTCAAGTTTGGCCCATCAGTCACTGACCAAAGGGCGGGGCCTAGCAGTTGGTGGCCATCAACGGCTGCTATGATGTTCGGTAGCCCCAGCCCTCTCACATGTCTGACCTATTTGCAGTGTTTATAGATACCTTTTGTTTAGCCTAAGTGTAATCATATGTAAAGGCTAATATATGGAAGAAAAGATATGCCTGCTTATCTAAACTCAAGCACAAACTTTGGATAACTTTTGAAACAATCTCAGTATGATAAACTTTAAGAGTACCAAGTGTAAAAAAAACCCCTTTAACTTATGCTTTAATATAGATCTGTAACACATTTGACCTCACATGGAGAATGCTTCACACACACGGGTCATATGTTTGTGCACTGACACATTCAGCTGCACGTCACATGACTTCAAAGCAGGGAAACCCATGAGGTGGTCATTTGTGTGTTTACGCAAGTTTGGGTCAGTGTTTTCAGGTGCAAATACACCTTTACATGCCCTTCTTTCACCACTCATAGACCCGCACACACACACACACCATTTACACCCGAACCCATACCTATATTGACGCACACTTTCCCTGGTGTTGTTTTAGCAGGGGGAGAGCAGCAATGGTCTGGAACAGGCCTGTTTTTTAGTGCGGGTCAAACTTTGGCCAGGCCTGAAGGCAGCAGCCATCCGATCCCTCCCGAGGTGCCTCTGGTCTGGGACCCGTTTGAACCTCCACCTGCTGAGAGAACTTCACTTTAGATACATTGTTCAGGCCTCTCTGAACACTGCGGAGGGGAGGTGGGACATTATGTTAAAGTCAACACCACAGGATCAGTTCGCTCTTTGTACTGGGCTTTGAGGGTGACCTCCATTCTTGGACCATGTAAAGTGAAGATGAGGTGCAGTAACTCATGTGGTCACACACATGGGCTGAGCAGAAGGTTTTTCTTCTTTTAAACTGATTTTTTTTTTAACTTTAACTGTAATTTAGGAAACGGGGCTCTGTACAGTCAACTTAATACATGCGCAACACATTGTCATACCTAAATGACAGACTAGGCTGTTTGCCAGTGACTCCCCAAATCAAATATATGACCATTGGAGAGCAGCAGCAACAGGAGCATGTACTAGCGATTACACTTTTAAAAACATGTTTAACGTTGTGAAATGGTCGCAGTAACGCACCACAACTACGTGGGCCGGTTTAGAAAGAAGATCATAGTTTGGCTTAGAATAAGTATATTTGTTATGTTGACATTTGGTGTCATACGCGACACAGACAGTAGTTTCCTGGGTGAAAGTCCTGTGTTTGTTTGACCCGTCCTCCACCTCAACCTCGTCCATATGTGGACTTTGCCACTGTTTACACTACATCACCCGACTTAATCCTCTGCTCCCATCATAACTATGGCAATGAGAGGTCGCCACCTAACAATGAATGAATATACGTGAAATATGGTTCATTATAAGGTTCTTGCCAGTTTTTCGAGTGAGTATGGGCTGCACATATACCGTACGGCTCCAGACTAACTTTCCTACTGGTGCTGCCAAGGAATGTAGCGATACATTGATCTGGATCTAAATATCGGGAATAAATCAGCAGTCTGGAAATATTTTTTGATTTTGAAAGGTCATCTTAATCCATGTGCTGTTTTATATGTGTTAGTGGAGTCAGTATAAAGTAAATTTTACTGCCCTTAAGCAGTTACAGTTATTTACATTATTTATGTGTTGTTTTTATTTTTTATGGCCATTGGCTCTGCAACTGCCTGTCTCTGTCTCTGGTTGTTGGTAGTCATCACTCTGTAGTTTCACTTAATGTCCTGCCCACAGCACTATCTGATTAGTTATACATATAAATAACAGCTTATCAACACTGAAGGCTGCCGTGCCACAGACGGGCCAAGAGACTGAAGCTGCTGCTCCAATCAGTGAGTGGAGCTGTGAGTTGAATATTATAGAAGTTTGCACAAAGCATCACAATCCTCTTTAGACTGTTTCAAACTTGACAATATAATCATTCTGAATGGTTCCTTCTGTATTTCCTGTGGGAATGTTTTGCAGTTTGAGTGACATCAGCTGACAGGAAGTAAACATGGACCCAATCTGTTGCCTAGCAAAGCAATTCCAGTGAATAGTTACTGGATGTAACTTAAGTTGTATAAGTACAAGAACTCAGAGGAGAGGAAGAGGGAGTGAGACTGTGCGTGTCCACAGGCAAGAGAGGTGACGAGTTTATCAGTTCTTATTATTTTTTATAAAAATGCAGCACAGTAACGATACAGATTTCATTCATTTACTTTAATTTCATAGACCAGATGTAGATAACTGCCCATGCTCATTCAGCCCTCACTAGACCTGTCGTCACTGTAGACTTCAGTCAGCAGTGTATACTTCATACACTTAACTGATATTTATATTGATATTTCATATTTATTTCAAACATGTAAAAAAAAAAAAGACAAACATACAAACAAGCAGACAGACAGAAAGAAAGTAAGATTTACAAATAGTAAAAGCAGTTGTCAGTGTTACTTTGATTTACACATTGGAAAAGAAGAGGTAGTATAATCCTATTTAATCCAGCCTCTTCTCCATAAGTCATTGAGTTAAATGAAACAGCTTCCTTATATAGATAAACCTATACCTTAGACTTCTCTAAATATACCATTGTTACTACATTTTAACTTTGTCACACAAAAATAACCCATGCATGTGTATATAGTATTAATTACCAAATATCTATCTTACAAAACCTGACTTAGTATATAACATAAATTACCAATTATCTGTGACTTACAAGTATAAACCAGTCAAAATATACAATATATATACGTATATATTACCAGTTGTCTTTACCTTACAAAAAATAGATATCAATTTCATCAACTTGTCCTGCAATTTTTTTGTATATAAATAAGTGTACATATGAATTATACAAAGTATGAATATATGTAATTCTGCCAGTATATATATATGTGTGTGATAAACCTGAGAAGAATTGTACAGTAAATTTTAACTCTCACACTCACAAAAAATCATCGCAGTCTGGAGCCCTGACACACGACATCTGTTAACTGTATAGGGTTTTTGCAGGTTTACACCGAGGAAGCTATCACTTAGTTATTATTACTTAGGACATTAGGACTGTCCCTTAAAAAAACAAGTTAAAAAAACTTAAACTAACATTTAATACACTGGATATATCTTGAACATGAACCACATAACCTGATCTGAAACTTTGTTGTGGAATATATGTTGCGAGCTCACTACCAACAGGCTAACACTCCTGAGAGGCTGCTGCACATTTTAAAGTCAGCAAAGATCTTTAAGTTTATCCAGTGTTTTTCCACCTATGGTATAAAATACAAAATGCTTTCACATATGATTTCATGTCATGCTTTCGGTATGACTTGATAGTTTTCTCAGTTTTGCTTCAGAAAGCTATAATACCTCTGGGCTACAAGGCCCACGGTGCTTATATTGTACACTCAGGATTTTGAGCTTGAAACAGATAATTATAGATCAAATAGTTCTCTCATGTCAATGGCAGTTTGAATTTTGGATAAAAGGTGACAGCCTGAGGGTGTATTAGTCCATTGCTTGCATTGCTGCAAATCAATAATCAGGCAATACTGGATTTATTGGATTTTTGCATTAATGTGATGAACTTATCAGGTATTTGATCAACTGACTTAGCTAAAACAAACATTATCATTTGGTCATTTTATCTATAAATAGTTTCCCCAACTTCATTTCCTCATAATTTACCTTGTCACAATACATACACACTGATGCCACAGTGTTAAATTACATAAACCTTATTAAAACATGAAAATATAAACAACCCTGATTGTCCCCCTTGTGATGAGCTGAATATGTTATCTTCATTGAAACAATATATTAATCTTAAAGCTGATTCATCATGTGATTTACTTATCGTTTTTCATTTTGTTTGTGTTTTTTGTTCAGAAGAATCCCGCAGCAGAGCGTGCTGTCCACTGTATAAATAGGTGCTACTCCTAGCTGCATGTTCAGGTTTTCTGTGTTGTTTTCTGCCCGTGCACTCTACTTGTCGGAAGAGGCAGGATGAGAAGTCATCCATCTCCAGCTAACAGCCACCAGTCTGGCCCCATGCTGGAGCCCCAGAGAGAGGAAGCGATCGCTCACAGCACAGGAGCACATTCCCCCTCAACACAGGGGGGACAAGGCCATTTAACCCATCAAGGCCCGGTCTACTTTTCTTTGCTCTCATGTGCAACTGTGCATGTGTGTATCTGCTGTAGTGTATTGTTCTGTCATTGGGCGCACACGTGTCTATGTGTATGTTAATGCATGCACAGTCATTAGCACCATGTCCCAGCCTCTCCTGTTTGTGTTGGTGGGCTCTTCACTACAATGCGCCTGGCGGTAAGTACTTAAATAGCCATCCTGGGGTCAGACCACATATACAGTAGCACAGTACATCCCTCACATCCCCCCACCTCTACCCCCTATCTCTCCTTGATCCTCAATATATAATTCCTAGAGCACCCACCCCCTGTCTCTGTGTCCTACTGGCATGACGATAGCATCCCTGGACACACAGAGACTTGCAGTATAACCAGCCTGAGGAATTGACACTCCAAGTGTTTCTCCACACTTTTTCTAATGGCATTGTGAGCCCCCCGCCACTGCTGGGATGGAAGGTGTTTAGCACCTCACTGTTTTTACTTTGACAGAGGAGGGACACTAGCACTCCCCTGGCTATATAGGCCTCGACCAGTTCCACTGTTATCATTTCCACTGTGGGCACGCTTCCTCCCATTGAATCACAGGTATTTATGTGGGTGGCGGCTTGGCTTGGCTAGCTGTGTTAGCTCTGTAAGCCAAGGCTTGGTTTGAGGTTTCAGGCAGGTAAAAATGCTGTGGACAAGGCACGTCTAGGTGACACCAAGGTGAAAAGCTCCATCTGTATATGGGCATATGCCTCAGACAGACAAATGTGTGATAGAGAGATAATGGTTGACCATGCACCATTACAGAAATAGAAGTGTCCGTGAAGAATGAGACAACAATGGAGGGAACACTGGAAATGAGAGAGGTCTTGCGTGGTGAATACATATGCACTGAAGCTATCGAGTGAGAAGGAGACGAGAACTGAACGGGTAGTTAGGTCAAGAAATGAAAGAAAATGGAGTCAATAAATGTTAGGCAGAATGACTTTTAAACAATAAAATTGACGACCCTTGTCTGTAGAGGTAAAGTGTGGACGTTGTGAGCCATGACCAAAAAGCTATTGTTGACTAACGTCAACCAAGTGCGTTATCTTTGACCCCTGCGGCTAGAAATGGAAAAACAGAGTGAAGGGAGGAAGCAAATATGAATTACAGACAAACATGGTAGTGTAGCAATGGAAAGAAAAGAAATAAGTCTTTAGACATTCAGAGTCAATTCTGTAAATGATCGCACAGTAGCAAGTATCCTCAGGTAATATATTTGTATTCATAAAAAAAAGTGCAACTACACTTTCCCCCCCTTCACAAGCAGTGCTCTCCATGACAGAATGGCATTCTGGGAGAAGACAGACTGCAAAGGTCATAATTATTTGCGGTCATGCTGCTCCTCACTTAACAGATGGAGACAACCTGAGTCAACATTTTTCAATTAAAAAAGAGAACACAAACAAACAGAGGGGAAGAGAAAACACACACTCGCGCGCACACAAAGACGTACACACAAGCTGGAAAAACGGAAATGACCTTGAGGACCTGATACCTCATTAAAAGTGATGCTCCAAGCCTGCAAACAGGCTAATTAGACAAATCCTGCTCACACTTAGCAGTAGTACACATGGTGGGGGGTGCAGGGGATCGTATTGTGTTTATGTGTATGTCGGAGGAAAGCGTGTTTTAGCCAGATCTGAGTGTAAATATCTGAAGACACTTAGGTCTGTGAAACAGGAGGGCAAACTGATACAGAGACAGACTGAATTAACACGCTAACTCATATGGATGCATTGCATTTTGATTATAGATGGATGATGATCTGTCTCACCAAAAGAGCAGCAACTACATGTGGGAAGGATTAAAAAATATACTGAAATTAAGTATGTACATATCATGTCATATGCAAAAAAAAAAAAACCTTATGGCACAACATAGTATGAAGTTTAACTAATTTATTAAAAATGTTAACAATTTATTTGGATGGTCCACCTAGTTTATACAGTATTTGTTTCATGATACAGATGATACATTTGTATCATGATACCTACATCGTAGCCTGACGTGCACGTCCTCAGAAATGAAACTATACATAGCGGTGACGCAGACACAGACCTCCTGTCTATATTTATAAGCTGAAACCATTTCCCTCAGTGAAAACAAAGCTTTTATTTACTTTTGTTTTACAGATAAGAAACAATAAATTATGAAGACAATAAAGCCTCCACAAAAATGCATTTTAAGTCTTGTGTGTGATTTATCCTGGCTTGATATGAGTAGAGGAAATCTCTGCTTTTTTTCTAGGCTAATTTATACAATGTTAAATGCCATAGGTTTGTGCTAATAACGTTAGCATGTTATATTTGTTTGGAAGACGTGTTTAGTGTAAGGCAGTTGATTTGTCAGTGAACCTTGTGAGTTGTAATGGAACCGAACTTTGTGATGTTATCTTTGTTAAATGTTGCTGTTGTCCCTGGTTTCATACGAGTAGAAAAGACTGCTAGCTGCTAGGCTAATTTATACAATGTAAAATGCCAAAGGCTTGTGCTGAAGACATTAGCATGTTGTATTTGTGGGGAAAATGTGTCCAGGTAGTGACAAGTGCTTTGTCTGTGAATGCTGCAAGTTATAGTGAAGCTGATTTATGTACTTGTATTTAAAATTGTTTCTATTAAGCCATGTTTAATGTGTGTACTGCCCAAGTATAAATGCTCATAACAGCTTATGTGGCATGCGTAGGCTACGGCGTAGGCTCTGCATAGAGCTGATGGACAAATATGAATCCTGCTTTAGTTGAGATTCAACAACTGCATTGTATTTAACAAATATTTTTACCAAACATTTCATTGTTTGACTTTAAAAAAACAAGTGTACAAGTTTTAATTTAAATCACTTCACCAAACAGTTACCGAATAGTTTGATCAATTTGTTAATTAGTTGCTCTGATATAAAACTTTTTTGCTCCAAAGGGAGCAGCACAAAGTCTGATAAATTTCTTCAAGCGATGTCACTTCAGTCGATTGTGGTTGAAAATAAAAAATAAATCTTGGGGTTCAGAGTTAGAAAGAAGTGACGTTACCAGACCTCTGCAGCCCACTACTCATCTCTACTTGAAGCTGTAGTGGCTTAATGCTACATTAGCTGCTACTAGCATAACACACTCAAAACTCTAAACATACAGTCAGTGGTCAAGATGGAGTAGTCGCCAGGTTTTGTTGATAGAATAGGCTGTCTCTTTCTCATTTTCCTGCTTACTAACTGACTACCCTGTAAAAGCAGTATTAAAATTGCTGGTTGCTGCATATTATTGTGTTAGAAAAATGCATGGCCATGGTAAACAGTCTGCACTTTCACAAGGTAATGACATATGCAAAAGACAAGGAAATATTGTTCTTTTATATTTTTAGTGTAACAGTTTTGGGCGGATAGGCCATACGTCTACATCTGACAAACATAAAAAGACACATAACAAGCCTCCATTTTGTTGCTTTACTCAAATATAAAAGGCTTCCTGGATAATGTTAAAGGGACAGTTCCCCCCAAAATCAAAAATACATATTTTCCTCTTACCTGTAGTGCTGTTTATCAGTCTTTACTGTTTTGATGTGAGTTGGAGATATCAGCTGTAGAGATGTCTGCCTTTTCTCGAATATAATGGAACATGATGGCGCACGACTTTTGGTGCTCAAAGCACCAATTTCTAAATTTGAAAATCTCATAAGCAATGTCTCTTTGCAGAAATCATCACCCGGTTGCACAAAATAATCCACAGATCTTGTTGTGAGCAGTTTCATGAACTGTTTTCTTTCTACCAAACTACACCCGCCAACTGTATCACTGCACAGTAGGTAGTGTGCGTCTACTGCAAAAGGGCTCATGACAATGCGAGATGTAAACATTAATGGCGTCCTCCTCAGCTGAGCTGGAACGTTAGCAAACTAAGTGATGCTAGGTCAGCTAGCAGTAGATGCTGCTGCCTTCTGCGCAGTGATACAGTTGGCAGGTGTAGTTTGGTAGAAGGAAAATAGTTCCTACATGAAACTGCTCACAACAAGGTCTGTGGATTATCTTGAGTAACTGGGTCATGATTTCTGGAAAGAGACGTTGCTGTTGAGTTTTTAATGTGTTTTTTTGGCACTTTGAGCACCACAAGCTGAGTGCCATCTAGTTCCATTATATTGGAGAGAAGGCAGACATCTCTACGGCCGATATCTCCAACATTCGGCAACTCGCACCAAAACAATCTAGATTGATAAGTGGCACTACAAGTAAGAGGGAAAATATGTACTTCTGATTTAGGGGTGAACTGTCCCTTTAAAGGCAAATATTGTGCATACTAGTGTGCTAATAAGATAATTATGTTGTTGAAAACCAAACAAATCAATTTCTCACTTTCATATTACAAGACTTAAACTCAAGATTAGAAGATCTAAAATAACTCTGAATGTAGAAACTAGACAATTTAAGTTGATTTGACTCAAAAACCAACCAAGAAAAGGTGAATATAAAGTGTGAATGATGATTTAAGAATTTTAAAATGTAGTAATATGTAGCCATGCACAATTATTCAATTATTGTTTTGTGTGCCCAGGTCTTGAGATACCCACCTCTAAAACTTTATTTAGTTATTTATTTTGTGTATTGGGTGGACCGACCCTTGAACAGCAAAGAAATATTGCAAAGCAATATCAGTAATAGCAACTTTTTTTTTGATTGACAGCAGCATCCTGGTAAACATCATATCAAGCTGACAGCCCTGGAGAACTTAGCCAGAATGTGACAGCCATCACAGACCCACATCCACACATGAAAGGGCTTTGTGTTGTGAAGCCCCTCTACTGAGACAGAAGAGGACATGTTGTTCTCAGTTAGAAACAGACATTCAGAGAGAGAGAGAAGGAGTGTGTGTGCGCTTATGTATGTGTGTGTGTAGCCTTACTGCGACAGGACAAGGAGTGCTGATTTAGACATAGCCAACCCAAACACAGATGCCCCAGTCCTTCCTTCCTGTGGGTAACAGAAGGAGACACAATGTGTTCAAGAGGCCGGAGCTGACAAAGGGATTAATCCGACGACAACAAATGTTGCAATCTCTGGCATGAGTCGCAGCAGAAAAATACATATCATATGGCCGCAACAGCTCTGACACAGACAAACATGCACGGAGCCAGAAACGTCCTGGAAAAAATAAAAATCATGAAAGAAGCTGCAGTTTTAAAAAGAAGTAACTCGGTAGTTTGCTGCCCTAAATGTATGAGTGTCACATATTTTATCTTAAAAAAAAAAACCTATTCCTTTAGCTCTGGGAATGAATCTGCAGCAGTGATTTTTTTTTTATTGACATATAGTATCTCCCACTGGTAATCTGTCGATCTCGCTATTATCTCTTGCTTTCTTGCCATTGTCGGATCTCACATCTTTCTCTCTATCTCTTCCTGTGTCTGTCTCTTTCTCTCACACCCTGTCTGAACGTTGTTTTGGGGGGCTGATATGAACCTGTGAACATCTGCCCACGATACAGTGGGAGGAACAGACGAGAGAGAGACTGAGATGAGGTTGAGTTCATGTGAACCACCCATGGCGCCGGACTGTTACGGCCATCAGTAAATCTATCATCTGACTGCTATCAAAGGTTCTCTCTCTGCCTCTGTGTCCGTTTGTATGTGTGTGTGTGTGTGTGTGTGTGTGTGTGTGTGTGTGCGCGCGTCCGTGTTTTTCTGTGCGAGCCTGTCTGTATGTGTGTGTTTTCTTCTCAAATAACATAATCCCATAAGAGGGTGGGAGAGACATTTTTTGAGGATAAGGGGAGAAAAGAGAGGAAAAAATGATGGCAGTGAGGAGAGAAAAGGCGATGAAGGGAGGGAGAGGGGGGGCAGAGCAGAGCAGGAGAAAAGCATTAGTAGTTCCAGCCAGCTGCCAAATGATGCCCTTGATTGCCTCTCTTCTTGTGCAGAAACAGAAGGTGTGAGGGGTGATTAGGCCTGGGCCCGATCCCTGATGAACAGATGTTAATAACAAAGCCCATGTTCATTGTGGTTAATAGCCAAGCGCGCCAGGGCTGGCTGCTGAGGCTAGGGGAAAATCTGCCTCCATAGCTCTTCTCCTCCCCTCTCCCTTCATGGGAGAGAGATAGGCTCCCTCTACTAATGTTTTGGCTGTACACTAACGTAATGAGCATGGTATTTGCAAGAAAAGGTAATGATAATCAGTCACGGGGGCAGAAAAAACACAGCAAATGATGGTGCGTCGCATTCAGGAGATAGAGGAGCTCAGGGTTTGTGCTGTTAACTTTTAGTTGATGATAGCCTTTTGATGATATCAGAGATAAAGGGATGTTAATAAAGCTGGGCTGCATGGCTGAAATCACTGTTGCCTCATCTTTGATCCTATTAGGCTATTGTCTTCAGGCGGTAATGACAACAACTATAATGTGCAAAGGAATCGTCATAATTCAGTTTCATCAAAGCTAAAATCATTCAGTTCTAAACTATATAGCGCAATACTCAGCATCTAAAGCTAAATCATCCGCCGCTAACAAGTTAAACATAACATTTTGAATATGTTTTGTCAAAATATAGACCTGAAAGGGGTCAGAGGTCAAACCAGAAAGGGTTAACAGTGCGGACAAATACATCATCAGCCTTGTTTATGAAAGACAAAGCCACAACAGCTCCCACAACGCCACATCCTTCCTCCTCAACATAACACAGTTTACTTATAAAACATTCAAATGCGATGAATTATTGAAGTGAAGCAGATGTTGCAAATTGAATACTTTCGCCCCGTTTCCATTGGTGAGGAAAAACTTGCTATTCTTCCAGAAGTATGTATGCGCCGGCACCAATTCTCTTTTCTCTCTGTGTACACAGCATGGAGGGAAGACTCATCTCGCACTCAAATATCTCCGTGGGGAATGGAAAGATGGCAGAGATGCATGCCGAGGCCACTCCTTTTATCCGGGCCTTGGAAAGAGAAACATTGGCACCGTTGTCAGGAAAAATGTGACATTTCCTGCACTGTGATACCTCACATCTTCAAATTGATGCCTTGTCTGGAATAGACAGAAGGAGGTGTAATGAATGTGCTTCGGTGACACAAAGACATGCCACCAGGACATTGTGGGATCTCAGCTCTGGAGCGTCCTGACTGGTTTGCTTTTTAAAGCGCAGAGGGCCAGCTGTTTATGTTATTCAAATTTAGAGGGGTTGGAGAAAATGTGCGTCCATCTACTGTTGCGGGGGATAATAATTTGGGCGAAAGCATCCATTTCTGAAACCGCTCTTTATGCTATTTTTGTCAATCAGACTACATTGAAAAGTATTTTCCATGACACTGCTTGAATTCCTCTTTATATACAACTGAAACTTGGACAAAAGATTCAAATGATTGTCATTTTCTTCAGTATTCATGCTGTCATCTCCACATATCGTCTGAACCATTCCTCCTTTATGTGAAATCTTCCACTGGTAGGGGACCGCGTTACTGTATGTGTGGCGTACAGACAGACTCATGGGAGGTCATGGGAGTTCTGAGCTGACAATCAAGAGACCAGCTGTCACTCATAGCCCCATCACCAGCCGCGCCACGTCGAGTCTTGTGACGACCACATGACTACAATGGCACATTTCTCTTCTGTCTTTTGGCAGGTACGTATCAGCATGATGGATTGGCATTACAGGAAATCTTTCATCAAGACCCAAATATCCTTTGTAATCACCCTCATTGTGTGACATGAAAGCGCATGCACGTTTTCATATCGGGAAATCATAAACTGTATATGTACAGATCAGACGAGCTCAGCTACCCCCTCACTGACACCTCCCATCCTATACATCTCAGTTTATTTTATCACAGTTTAAGTGGATGTCATTTAACACTAATAACTGAATATAAATACATTTATTTTATTATATTTATTCATATCTTGCACTGCACTTTCACCACAATGTACTTTTTTAATCTACTTGTTTAATTTTAGTTTATATTTGTATATCTTCTATTAAGGATGTCATGGTTAACCGCTAATTGGCTTACTGCTGAGAACATTTTTGGCCAGAGGTCATGGCTGCATGTTGGTCTATAGGTTAATTTTGCTATACTTAAGTTTACTGCACTTTGCACCACCCAGATCTGGTGGGAGCTAATGTTAGCTAGCGGCACCGCTCCTTCGGTATTGGTGTAGCACCGTTTGCAGTGTCAGCACGGCTAGTGGTTCTAACATACCTTACAATGCTAGAGGGGTATTGTAACCCAGAATGAAATTGCTAACTCAATGGGGCTACCTTGTGGGAGACCAGAGAGTGGCCACAATGTTTTTCGCAGCAACATGTCCCGTTACTGAGACAGCATTACCAGTGGTAATCACAGAATGAGCGGCACCACTAGCTAGCTTCCACCCGACCCAGGTGGTGTTCAGTGCAGAGCGGCCAAAGAACTAGTGGAGACCGAAGGGTTGACGGTGGGAACTATGTTTCTGCTATGATTCAGCTAGAGGGACATCTATCAGCAAAGCCAACATAAAATTTTAAAAAAGGCAAGACATTTCCAAAACAATAAAACCCTCAAAACATTTAATGTCACCACTGCTAAATGGATAGCACTTTGAAATGGGGCACTTAGGGTCACTGAGTGCGTTTACATGGACGCGAATAACCCGTTTATGATCAGGTTTTTGGAGTATTGTATTTATGTGTTTGAGCATGCAAACACCGTATTCCATTTATGAGTAACCCGGATATGCTCGATGGAGTACTCTGAAAGAGACCGAGATGTATACAGAGAGTATGAGTAACCTGAATATGATTATAACCAGGACAAGTCTCATAAACAGGTTCTTCATGTCCATGTTATTGCACTCATTGAGTCGAAGAAATGCTGGACTAAAAGAATAGGCATGTTGTATTCCATGTCATTTAGCTTTTTTTTCCTTAAAAAAATAAGTGGTTAGTTACCTGTTTATGGGTGTTGGCCCATCAAAATCAAAATGAAGAGAAACTGCCATCCCTATCTTCTTCCTTTTCCTAATTTCTTTTTGTCTCGTGTAAAGCATTTGCCTCATTGAAAGGTACAATACACATAAATTTGCTTTGCTACAGTTCATACTGCTACCACTTGGTGCTTCAGAAGCTGGACATTTCAAAAATGTATCCATTATTTTTAGCGAACTATTTTAAATCCATTATTTTTAGCTTTTGCAACATTATTCAGTACTTCAATCGAGGCATTTCAGTTTATGCATTACATTTTTCTGTCTTTTAACTGTTCATCCATCACTGGTAGCTAACTCTTCAGACTTCTCTGTGTACTTGCCAGCTAGGTCTTTACATACTCTTAATCACTTTATATTATCCCAAGCAGTAACCTTCAGGACTGAAAAATGAAGCCCACGCAAAGTGCCAAAATTGCAGTTCTTT